AAATCTATGGATAGACCTTAAAAGAGCAGTGCGTGACAGACAGCCCAGAAATCTCAAAGAACTGGAAGACTTTTGTAAGGAAGAATGGGCAAAGATACCTCAAACAAGAATTGAAAGACTCTTGGCTGGCTACAAAAAGCGTTTACAAGCTGTGATACTTGCCAAAGGGGGCAGTACAAGATATTAACTCTGCAGGGTGCCCAAACTTTTGCAGACGCCATTTTTTTGTTTTCTGTTATTTTGAAAGTGTAAATGATGGAAATAAAATCTAACTTTTGTTGACATATTATAAGAATGTCTAATCTGTAATTTGATGCCTTTTGGAGATTTTTTTCCATCTTTCCTTGGCTTCTTTATGCACATTAATACAAATTTTTAGCTGGGGTGCCCAAACTTTCGATCCCCACTGTATATATAATTTTATATTTTTTTTTTTATTTTTATTTTTTTTTAGATGTTTGAGAACATTTTTGAGGATCTGAAGAAAAAAATTTCCTGCACACTTGTAGCCTAAAGAGGCTGATGGTAAAGAACAATAACGTTTTTATAGCAGATATAAAATGCAAATATCTTAGATTTTACTCAAATGTGGCAACTTTTACATGCACATATATAGATGCTTTCAGTAGTTCTTTTACATGAAGGCAACCTTATGTAAAAGGTCCAATTGAAGCTTCTCTATCCATTATTATAATGCAGTCAGGCTATGTATACAGTATTATAGCCTGGGTCGGCGGTGGTCTGACACTCTCCCTGCACACCGCTCCAATCAATATTTCATTCATTATCATTCTTATTCTTGAGTAGTGCTGTTGATTGAAGCAGTGCACAGGGGGAGTGTTGGACCACTAAGACCTGGGCCTCTGCATGCATACCGGAGCAGTAGACTGACTCTCCAGCATGCCGCTAGCACAGGGTATTTTAAAGCGTACTGCAGCATTTAATGTGAGTGTATTTATTACTACAGGCGTACCTCGATTTACGAATGCCTCTGTTACCATCATTTTTGGTTTACGAATGAAAATCCATTGAAAATAATGGCTCGGTTTACAAATTTTTTTCATAATACGAACAGATTAATTGGTTCTCAATGCATTTACAATTTTTTTTAATCATGTCCCTGTACAGTACTATGCCTTTAAAGTGAACTCTATAAAAGAGTTTTGAACAGATAAAACTTTTTTTGCCTTTTTTCTGACCTCCGGACTGGATTAATTGGTTTTCAATGCATTTACAAAATTTTTTTTAATCATGTTCCTTTATGCCTTTAAAGTGCACTTTATAAAGAGTTTTGAACAGATAAAACTTTTTTTGCCTTTTTTCTGAGCTCTGGAATGGATTAATTGGTTTTCAATGCATTTACAAATTAATTCTTAATCATGTCCCTGTACTGGTATTGGTTTTCAATGCATTCCTATGGGAAACCACGTTTCGGTTTACGAATTTTTCACAATACAAAAAGTCCAGCACAACTTTCATGCTTTGCTGGTTTTTTTTGCCTTCCTCTGGATCAACTGTGGGTATAGGATTATAACTTTTTTGTCTTTTTTCAGCCAGATTAACTATGTAACTATGTGATGAATTAAATTCGTAAACCGAGGTACGCCTGTATATATGCAGCCTGATTGCATTAAATAAATATAGAGGCTTCCACTGCATTTTAACAAACATTCCCAGAAAATGACTTATTGAGGTGCATTACAAACTTTTGTAACAAAATTACAATAAAATATTACATAACTATAAAATACACTGTTAGGGTTCATTTACACTTGTTTCAAAATGTGGCATGTGACATGTTTTTAAAGCGCTCTGAATGGCAGTCAAAGCACATTTCACTAAATAAAATGTTTACCTTACAGTCTTGTTCACACTGTTGCATTTGCCTTGCTTTAAAAATGATACCCCATGTTGCTTTCATGGTGCTTCAAAGTGTCACCAAAGCCTCCATAGAAGTCTATTGAAGTCTGGCTTTTGAGGGGCTTTTAATCAGTTAACTTTGGTTTGTTTTGGAGGTATTGCAGACAGGTGATATCCCAGGAGGCACTGGGAAACCAACAAGTGAACTGGAAAGACATTATCAGCTGTCACTTCTAGTTCATGTTTATATATTCTAGGAGTGTCTGGTGCAGACGTCACATCTGGTGTGCAGCGAGGAGCAGCAAGAAGGTGAGCGGGGTCCAGACTGCAGTGGAGCAATGAGCACACAGCACACATGGTGTGCAATGTGGGAATACTATAGTAGAAGGTGAGCATGGACCGGAGAGAGAGGACTGAATGGCAGAGGATCAACAGAGCTGCCAGACCAGAGCAACAGAAACTAGAAAATGTCACATATGGTGCGTAACATGGGAGCAATATAGCAGGAGGTGATGGTACCAGAGAGAGAGGAGGATCAGATAACCAGATGATCAGCAGAGTTGGAGATTACTACTGAGTGGGGGATCAGCAGAGTTGGGGCTTACCAATGAGCGGGGCATAAGCAGAGCTTGGGATACTACTGAGTGGGGGATCAGCAGAGCTGGGGGTTACTACTGAGCGGGGGATCAGCAGAGCTGGGGGTGACTATTGAGTGGGGGATCAGCAGAGCTGGGGGATACTACTGAGTGGGGGATCAGCAGAGCCGGGGGTTACTGTAGCAATCGTGCACACAGAGATGGATGTGAACCTCCATTTTGGCAAAGGCCTCCATCTTCTCTCATTTTCTACTCCCCAATCAGCTTCCTTCATCCCCCCTCCCTCTCTGTTGAGTGACACGTGGTCTCTGGATGCTGAGTTCAAAAAGGCATCAAGGCCCAGCGGGAGAGCTCATGGCTATAAACCCCAATTAGCCTGGCTCCCATATGTCTGCAAAACTCTTGCTTGGAAGGGGATCGTAAAACCATAAACCAGTCCCTCACTGAGCTTCAAAGACATTCCAGATAAACCATAACCCAGACCTCACATTCAACATCCATTTTTAAAAACCAGGCATATATTCAGACCGGTCAGTTTAATACAAGTCGTCTGATATATTACACCCCCTAGCTGACAGCTACAGGAGAGCAGAACATGATATCTCCTGAACCATCCAAGCAGGTATGTCATATTTCATATCTAAACATTCAGCAGATGCTTCTGCATATTAATCTACTAGTGGCTAGGCTGTTAAATGCACCGAGGGTAAATTATGGGTCATGATATCAACTTGCGAGGGATTTTGGTTCTAGCTGGGGCCTCTGCCCACAACTCCCTCCCCGAATTTGGCGATTGGTTCTCTGCTTCAGGGAGACACCCTGCTGAGTTCCTAGAAAAAGCTGTTATGTTTAGAGCAGAAAGTTAAGCTATGCTGAGCTGAGTTGAGATAAGTTGAAGAATGTTCCCTTTTAACATCAGGAACCAACTTTGGGAGATAAGGCGCCCTTCTGCTCTGAAACTTGATCTGCTTAAACCAGGATGTTTGGCAAGTACATTACCTCCCTAAATTTCTTTCTGTTATCTCTTTGCTGTGTTATTGCTCTCTCTATATTTATACATATATATTGGCTACATCTTTTTCTGTAAATATTTTTATTTCATCCTTTTGACCTTTTAGTAATAAATCTTACTTTCTGAAAGTGTTGAACTGTTTCTAATGCAAACTAAGAACCCCTGTCTCTGAAGAGCACTACTGTGTGTGTTGAAGCCTCTCTATAACCTGCCTGCAGTGACAGTGTTATACAGACGATTATTCAACCATCATAGTGTTATTGCTGATATTGCCGAGTTTCCTCTTTCTCTGTACAAAAAGGAGGTGGTGGCAGTGTGAAGGGTTAATTGCGTAATTAACCTGACCCAGTAACAATCGCTCCCAGGCTGCCGGCACACATATCGTGGTCCATTAGCTAGAAAATCTTTGTGCAGGGTGCAGCTGGGCGTGGCATTGTTACGCACGTGACAGCGCAGTTTTAGATTGGCTAGTCCTTCGGTCACGAGTTTGGTGAGAAGGGCTGGGGTCTGAGGCCGTGATCGTCACAGTTACTACTGAGTGGGGGATCAGCAGAGCTGGGTACTACCACTGAGGGATCTACTGAATGAGGGTACTAATCCGCTGGGGATCTGCTAACAAGGGGTTACTAATTATCTGGGGACCTGCTGAACATAGGTATTACCGAGCTGGGGGTACTAATGAGCCAGGTTTCTACTGAGCCCCTTTAAAACAAACTGAAAATAAACACACACAGGGCATTTTCCAAGCTTCATTAAAGCTTCAAAAGAGCATCACAGAAGCCTGAAAAACACATCAAAAATGCATATTGAAGTGGTGGGCACTTTAATGTGTGTTAAAATCAAAGTAAGTGTAAATGAGCCCCTTGTGATAATTACGACATGTTTCAAGCTAAAAGAAAACCTTAAACATAAAATATTACATATATTAGAAGGTGGGTTAATAAAGAGTTTATTTTATACAAATGTTTGCCAAAACATAAGAGCACAAACTGTAGTGAGCTCAGCATTACAAATCCCGTTTATCTCCGTTACGTTAATTAAATAAGTGAGCTGTAGACACCAACAAACTGGATGCCACACAAAGTCCAAAGTTATTGTAAAAAGTTGTACAACCCCATCATGTGATCACCTGAAATGCCACCTGTTGCTGTCCCCTGTATATAATCCCCTTGTTTTACCTTTTTAAAAGAACAATGTGAAAACAATCTGCTTTAAAAATCAGCATTTTTGAGTGATTTCTCCAGTTATCTTTTGCCTTGTTGTAATAAACTACTTGAAGAAGTGTTGGTCTTGAACTTTTTGGTGCTTCTTCCTTTTCAGGTATGATCAAACCTAGGACCTATTGGTTTTTAAGGCCATATACATTGTTTATACTGCTATCATACTGTATGGCTAGTGGCCTGTAGTTACATAGAGGATGTCCACCTAGACATGTTGTCCTTTTAGATAAATAACAGTTTAGAGTCTTTAAATGTCGCCTTGTCTTAAAAGTCTAGGACAGATTCAATTCTCTCGTTTCTAAAGTCTCAGCACTAGTGAAATCGAGGATAGATGTTGTCCCAGTCTCCATCTCCTTTGGCTGGTCTCTTTTTTTCCACTTTCCCAATTTGTTCTCTGTCTTTCCTGCCCCATATTCCTCGCCCACAGGGTTCCTTAGTCAGAAAGTATAGAAGAGCATTAAGAAAGGAGTTGGCACTTGCCAGAGGTCTGGTGACCTTGTAACAGACAGCCACCACCCCTAAGGCACGGCATCCACCTAGGGCAGCTCCTCTTGCCCGCATGGTCAAGAAAATTGTGCGGGTTATGTGGAAAGGAAGGAAGCAGAGGGCGAACAGTAGGGTGATGGTGACGATGGTTCGAATTGACTTGCGCCGTTGGGCTACGCCAGGAACGGGCCCTGGTACACCACCCCCACGTAAAGTTTGCCAGATGGTGCGTACCACTCTTGAGTAGCACCAGGCAGTTAATGAAAAGGGTAAGAAGAAGCCAGCTATGTGCAAAAAAAGTCCATAAGGCATGTAACGTTCAAGGTCCTCGTCAAGGGCGTCATCCCAGCAGGTTACTATGTTTGCATCCTCCAGTGGCCCCGTCCGAGCAAAGAGCAGTATTGGAAAGGTCATGGCAAATACCAAGGTCCACACAAGTAGACAGGTGGCTCTCACCCAACGCATAGCTTCCAACCTCATTGAACGCATAGGGTGGCAGATACCAAGGTAGCGATGGAAGGAGATGCAGGTTAAGAAGAAGATGCTGCAGTAGAGATTGAAGTAGAACAGGAAACGAACCAAGCGACACATGGGATCTCCAAAGAGCCAGCGGTCTTGGAATATATAGTTTGTGATGAGGAATGGCAGGGACAAGCTGTACATGAGGTCGCTCAGTGCCAAATTGAACATGTAGATCAGTGATGGGTTCCATGGTCGGCGTAGGCACCGAGAGAGAACAATGGAGTTTAGAGCGAGGCTCAGTAGGAAGGTGAGGATGTAGCAAGTTGGTAGGTATATATGCTTGTAGGACTCGTCCAGTTGGCACGACAAACCTGTTAAGGGTGAGGTGGGGATTGAGGAGTTAAGGCTAGGGGTAGGGGAAAAAGAAGGCATGCTGGAATGTGTGGGTTGATGAATTAAGGAAGGTCCTGCATCACAGGGTGGTAGAGATGGGAAAGGTCTGGAAGAGACAAAGTGGCTGGTATGAAAAGAGAAAAACAGAAAAAAGACAGATTAGTTTGGTGCTCAAAATAATCACATAATTATCATTACATTATAACAGAACGTTGCACCCAGATCACATATTTAAGCAGAAGATGGATAACTAAACCACCCATTGCTTTTTCAATATTTCTCAGGGGCTCTAGAGATTACCACACTTAAGTTCCTATGTCTTCACAGCCTCCAGCCCTCCATAGTGCTTCAGCCTTCAACAGTGTCCCACAGTGCCTCCAGTCCCCTTAAGAGACCCCAGCCTCCATAGTACCACCCAACCTCCTACAGTGCTGCCCCCAGCCTGTCACAGAACCTCCAGCCCTCCATAGTGTCCCAACCTCCAGCAGTGTCCTACAGTGCCCCCAGCCCCCTTGAGAGTCTCCAACCTCTCACAGTGCTGCCCAGCTTCTCACAGTGTCTCCCAGCTTGAGAAAGAGCCTCCAGCTCTCTATAGCACCCCCAACCTACAATAGTGTCCCATAGTGCTCACAGGCCCCTTGAGAACTCTCAGCCTCCACATTGCCCCCCAGCCTCCCACAGTGCTGCCCCCTAACCCACTGCATAGCCCAAAGTCCTCCATAGTGCCCCCCAACCTCCAACAGTGTCCCACAGTATCCTCCAGCTTACTCCAGAATGCTCATGTCCTAACAGGGCCACCAGGTCTGCTTACAGTAGATCTCCTAACCCACTCCACAAACCCCATCTTCCCCACAGTGACACCCAGCCCCATCCACAGCCTTCTAGCATTTCAGCACATGTTTTTCATTACCATACTTTTATTGTGTAAGTATAAACGTCATTCTTTACTGTTGGGACATCCAAGTTTTTGAAATGAATTTACCAGGTCCTGTACTCAAAAAGGTTGAGAACCCCATGTTCTAGTATATTGCACATAATATGTTCTATTATATCCACTATAACCTCATGGTCTCATGTACTTAGAATGTACTTAGAAAATCTACATACAAAATTAAAGGAACACTTTTAAAACCCATCAGATCTCAATGGGGAAATATATCATGCTGGATATCTATAATGACATGGACGGGGTAATGAGTTAGGAACGTAAGGATGTCCCATATTTGATAGAAATTAAAATTATCAACCTACAGAGGACTGAATTCAAAGACACCCGAAAATCAGAGTGAAAAAATGATGCAGCAGGCGAGTCCATTTTGCTGACATTCATTGCAGCAACTCAGAATGGTCCTCAGTAGTTTGTATGGCCCCCACATGCTTGTATATATGCCTGACAATGTCGGGGGAGGCTCCTAATGAGACGACGGATGGTGTTTTGGGGTATTTTCTCCCAGATCTGGACCAGGGCATCACTGAGCTCCTGGACAGTCTGAGGTGCAACCTGCTGGCGTCAGATGGAACGAAACATGATATCTCAGAGGTGTTCTAATGGATTTAGGTCAGGCAAGCGTGGGGGCCATTCAATGGTATCAATTCCTTCATCCTCCAGGAACTGCCTGCATACTCTTGCCACGTGATGTCAGGCATTGAGGTGCACCAAGAGGAACCCAGGACCCATTGCCAGGGCCACCAATAATGGGGTAGCTCCAACCCTCCTGTAGGGGGCCTGGGTCCTTCTCTTTGCTAGGGGGGCCCAGCCAGCCCACAGCTTATAAAGCACTAGTAATAGGGCCTTTTTTTTTTGGCCAGAAACTTCTGCACTGGCCAGTTTCATTGCCGCTCACTACAGTCACTTATAAACACAGAAGCGCGACTTCTGTTTTTTTTATAAGTGACAGCAATCCTGGCGACACAATCAAGCTCTCCCTGCCGGGGGCGGAGTGGAACGAGAAGGGAGGGAGACGGGACTGTACTGAGTGGGGCACACAACTCTAGGCTCACACCCACAGCATCATCAGAAGCCTGTTCGTGACCTACTGTAAGTTTCAGTATATTATTTTCGGTGGAGGAGAGGAGCACTGTACTGAGACAGAGGAGAGGAAAGGTCTAGAAGAGGAGGAGAGGGGTGGGCAGGGAGGAGAGAAGAGCCCTGCACTGAAGGGGAAGGGGAAAGAAATTTGGGGGAGAGCTCTCTAATGGGGGGGGGGGGGGGATTGTAAAATAGCTCTGAGATATGCACACGATGCACACCTGCACTCTGTACATGCGCAATCTTCAACCCTGCATTCTGAATGTAACACACTCCTTACCCCTGCACTGTGTTTGCAGCGCACTCCTGAATCCTGCACTCTGAATGTAACGCACTCCTGAACTCTGCACTCTGAATGTAACGCACTCCTGAACTCTGCACTCTGTATGTAGCGCACTCCTGAACACTGCACTCTGTATGTAGCGCACTCCTGAACTCTGCACTCTGTACGCATTCCTGAACACTGCACTCTGTATGTAGCGCACTCCTGAACTCTGCACTCTGTATGTAGCGCATTCCTGAACACTGCACTCTGTATGTAGCGCATTCCTGAACACTGCACTCTGTATGTAGCGCATTCCTGAACACTGCACTCTGTATGTAGCGCATTCCTGAACACTGCACTCTGTATGTAGCGCACTCCTGAACTCTGCACTCTGTATGTAGCGCACTCCTGAACTCTGCACTCTGTATGTAGCGCATTCCTGAACACTGCACTGCACTCTGTATGTACGCGCACTCCTGAACACTGCACTCTGTATGTAGCGCACTCCTGAACTCTGCACTCTGTATGTAGCGCATTCCTGAACTCTGCACTCTGTATGTAGCGCATTCCTGAACACTGCACTCTGTATGTAACGCACTTCTGAACGCTGCATTCTGTACGTAGCGCACTTCTGAACTCTTCACTCTGTAGTAACTCACTCCTGAACTCTACACTCTGTATGTAGCACTTCTGAATACTGCACTATGTAGCGCACTTCTGAACTCTTCACTCTGAATGTAACTCTCCTGAACTCTGCACTCTGAATGTAACTCACTCCTGAACTCTGCACTGTATATGTAGTGCACTCCTGAACCTTGCACTCTATGCATAGCGCACACCTGAATCCTGCACTCTGAATGTAACCATTCCTGAACCCTGCACTCTGTAGGTAGCACAATTCTGAACCCTGCACTGTGTATGCAGCGCACTCCTGAACCCTGCACTCTGCACACTGTGTAAAATGTACACAGCACACTCCTGAACCCTGCACTCTGTACACTGCACACTCTATACATAGCGCACTACTGAACTCTGCACTCTGTGCATAGTACTGCTACAACCCTGTACATAGTATACTCCTCGACTCTGCACTCTGTACATAGCACACTAATGAACCCTGAACTCTGTACGTAGCACACTGCTGAATTCTGAAATTTGTATGTAGCACACTCCTCAACTCTGCACTCTGTTTGCAGAACACTGCTCACACCCTGCACTTCATCTATAACACACTTCTCAACTCTGCACTCTGTTCAAAGAGCACTGCTGAATTCTGAACTTTTCTGCGTAATACACTGCTGAACCCTGCACTCTGTATGTCACGCACTCCTGAACTCTGCATTCTGTATGTATCACTCTGGGGGGTGTTGTTGGTGATGTTGATGGCCGGCGTAATAGAGTTTCTGCCCCTATTTTCTTAGAAGAAAGCCCTGTAGCCTTAGGTCTTATTTACACTTATATTTGTAACTGCATTTGTAACTGCTCCCTCTTCTATTGGATGCACTTGAAGATAAAGTTGCATTTTGTTTGGCGATGGAGTCAGGGGAGGGACCAGGGGTGTGGTCAATGGCAGGGCCAGGAGGGTCGAGGGTGGGGTCAAAGGAGGGAACCATCAGGTAGGCTGTACAGGGCCCCATGATTTCTAACAGCGGCCCTGCCCACTACACCAGCGTAGAGTCTGACACGGGGTCCAAGGATTTCATCCTGATACATAATGGCAGTCAGGGTGCCATTGTCTAGCCTGTAGAGGTCTGTGTGTCCCTCCATGGATATGCCTCCCCAGACCATCACTGACCCACCACCAAAACGGTCTTGCTGAACGATGTTACAGGTAGCATAACGTCCTCCAGACCCTGGCTTTCCCAGACCCTTTCCCATCTGTCACATGCGCTCAGGGTGAACCTGCTCTCATCTGTGAAAAGCACAGGGCACCAGTGGCGGACCTGCCAATTCTGCTGTTCAATGGCAAATGCCAATCAAACTCTATGGTGCCGGGAAGTGAGCACAGGGCCCACTAGAGGACGTCAGGCCCTCAGTCCACCCTCATGAAGTCTGTTTCTGATTGGTCAGAGACATTCACACCACTGGCCTGCTGGAGGTCATTTTGTAGAGCTCTGGCAGTGCTCATCCTGTTCCTCCTTGCACAAAGGAGCAGATACCGGTCCTGCTGATGGGTTAAGGACCTTCTACAGCCCTGTCCAGCTCTCCTAGAGTAACTGCCTGTCTCCTGGAATCTCCTCCATGCTCTTGAAACTGTGCTGGGAGACACAGCAAACCTTCTGGCAATGGCACGTATTGATGTGCCATCCTAGAGAAGTTGGACTGCCTGTGCCACCTCTGTAGGGTCCAGGCATCGCCTCATGCTACCAGTAGTAACACTGACCCTAGCCAAATGCAAACTAGTGAAAAACAGTCAGAAAAGATGAGTAGGGAAAAAAAAATGTCAGTGGCCTCCACCTGTAAAACCATTCCTGCTTTGGGGGTCGTCTATTGCACCTGTTAATTTCATAAACACCAAAGCAGCTGGAACTGATTAACAACCCCTCTGCTACTTACCTGACCAGATCAATATCCCAGGAGTTTAATTGACTTGATGCTAGACTCGAATTAAAAAGTGTTCCTTTAATTTTTTTGAGCAGTGTACAAATATATCCTATATTTTTGTTAATGGAAACAAATTTTCCTTTATTCTTTCAGTGATTTCATTAAAAACCATAAAACAATAAAAACCAAACTTTAAAATTC